CTATTTCTGTGTCAGGTAGAACTTGGTGAGTCCTATACAGACTATTAATTTCATAGAAAATAAGCAACAGGGGAAACAGATAAATCACTGGCAGAGTGAAGAGCAGACCCAGTGAATTCCTACCAATTTCCCTTTCTTTTTCTTGCAGAGAGCAAAATGACGAAGTATTTATGTCCCACTGTCTTTGACATCTCTGTTTATCTCATTAGAGGAAAAATGCTTCTGAGCCTACAAGGACATGTTTTATTTCAAGTCTCAAGAATTCAATCCCAAATGACTTATACAAGTTAATTTTAGGCATTCAGGATTACAATTTTCACATTTCTGGAATGCTTTCATTTTAAATTTCATAAAAACAAATTACTACAGCATTAATTTTCCTTTTGTTTATTGCAAGCAATATGTACTATTCAAGCTTGAATTACATAAACAAGGTATATATATTTGAAAAGTAATGTTAATTATTTTAATGAAAAATTTTAATTAAAAAAATTTTTTAAGTCTAATAATAAGGCTAGCAAGTACAGTTGGAACTTTTTATATAATTTCAATGACAAATTCCTATTCAAAATTAATTTCTCCTCTACTCACTAGTCTCATCAATGTTTATTTATTAAAGTCAGTGTTTTCAGTAACCAAAAGAAGCATTATATAATGTTTCCATCTGAGTCTCTTTCCATCTGTCCTCTTATTTTACTGTTTATCCAGTAGTTTAAACATAAGATTGCACTTGGAACAGAATAGCTGAGCATCCCCCAAAGTGCGCCATTGTTTTGCACTGTATTTTCTGTCATTTGCCTACCAATGCTAGCAGCCTTCCCAAAGTGCTCATCCAATAACCTACTAAGAGTAGTTACTGTATAATAACTCCACTACCTGACATAAATTCTATGAAGGCAGGATTTTTATCCATTTTGTTCACTCCTGTATCTTTAATGCCTAGAACAATTCCTGACACTCAATATATATTTGTTGAGTAACTAAATTGAGTGAATGAATGAAAAAGTATTATCGGTCCTGTTTTACAGATTAACAAAGACTCAGGGAATTTCATAAAGGGCAGGCCATAATTTAATGTTAAGCCAACCTCCAGGATAGGATGTGGAATAAAGAACCTAACTTCAGGACACCTCTTCTTATATCCCTAGACTCCTTATACAATCCATACCACCTTCCTACTTGCCTTCCTTTCTGTAGCTTCCCCTCTAATAAAATTGACCATACCTTAGCTATACCCACAAGCCACGCCCACCAGCCAATCAGGGTGAGTATGCAAATTAACCCAACCAAGATGGCGGTTAATTTGCATATCCAGGCTAGAGGTAGACTGAAGACAAGGTAGAAAGAAGCCAAGCCTGCAGAATGAAGCGAAGCTGCAGAGAAGCGAGCAAGCGGGATGGCGGGGAAGGAAGGGAAGCAGGTGGGGCAGTGGAGACCACAGCAGGAAGCCCCATTGAGGAATCTTCCTGCAAAGGGCCTCTAGTTTATTTATAAAGGCTTCTTTCAAAACCCTGACAGTCCCAGAAGCACTATGGGGCCTGCGGCTCCAAAGTCCATTCTCTCAAGTTCCTACTACTAGGCACCCTCCACTTTTCTACCCTTTTATCCGCTGAGTAGAGGATAACTTCATTTGCATATTTGTCAGACCAGCAAAGCTTCCTTAGCACCAAAAGTCAGCCTGGTAGAGTAGCATAGGGTTCTAGTCTTGGTTCTTTATGGATTTATCAATAACTTCACCTCTATTCTCATTGAAGCTCCTGGGTGAAGGCCCAATCTAGACTTTCGAGAGTCACTCTGGGCTAGAAGTGAATAGGAATTATAACAAAAGGCTAACAATCAGGATTTGATTATTTTTCCCAACTACTGTATTTACCCACTAAGATCAATGCTTTTCTGGCTCTTGTGATAAACTCTTAAATGGATTAAGACTATAGAGTCTCCACATTTTCTTTCTAAACTAACCTCTCGCTGTCCATGTTGACTATTTGTATCTCCTCTACCATACATCTCTCAAAAATACTTGCCTCCGGTATCAGGAAATGCAACCAATTCCAATTGTGAGAATGTTTTCCATGGTATCAACTCTGCATTTTCCTCTGCAATGTTCACTCACCTCCTGGCATTGCCCTCTGAGTCCAATAAGGAAAGGCTGATCTCCTTTTATCTCAAGAGCTCACTAGATATGCCAGGTGGTTCTTGAAGCCCTTTCCCACCCCTCCCCACCCCAACTCTGCCATCTGAGTCTATTTTTTTGAATTCCTATTATTAAAATTTCTAAATATTAGGACTCATAAACAAGGTAATTCAGAGAAGAAAATAAGAATGAAACTTGAGACCCTACTTACCAACTTTTTCATTGGATGTGACATCAATTTCTAATTATATATGACTCATTTAAAGAAGTTCACACCACATAGCCACTAACGTCAGATGTCAAAACAAAGGTGACACTGTTTACCTAATACAGGTGCCAAAACCATCTGTTTGAGAAAGGAAAATGTCAGCAACATTTGCCTTTCTCAAATTGTTCATATAATTTTAAAGCTGCTCATTTTAGCCACTCACTTCACAGATGAACCTGAGATCCAGAAGACTTAGGTTACCTAAGTCTTAGACTTAGGTGGCCTAAGGTAGGTTAGCAGCAATGCTGAAAGTCCTTGAGGCGTTGTTGGCTATCTCCCAAACAGCAAATTATGATTCCATAATGTACTGATGTCTTGCCATTTTCTCCAAACTCCTCATGTCTTAATAATGTCAGCTCATTAATTTCCCAGAAAGCTAAATTTACATTGTTATTATTACAACAATGATAGCTTTCAGAACTACAAAGTGCCCTGAAGAATAGACAGCCTTCCTAATACTACAGACAAGAAACTGAAGACCAAGGAGGCCACCTGTTGGAGGCTATATTGCAATTTAACAAAAAAGCCAGCAATTGAGCACGTGTCTTCTGATCACAAACTAGAACTTTCTAGTGTCCTGCACGAAGAATTAGCTACACACTATAAACCCGAGATTGTTTTAACCTAAAACAATCATACCTAGAACAATAAAAATCTTTAAAGTATATAAATTCTGTCAGAAAGATGGTAGAGGAAGGGAGTTTGAACAATGGATGAAAGGTTGAATTCAATGACCTCTACAGTCCCTCTGTCTCTAGGATTATTTGATTCTGGACTACCCAGGAGCTAAGCACCTCAGAAAGTCAGGGCATCTGCAAAGGCAGAGAAGGTGCCACTGAGCCGTGTCCTGTAGGGGTCCCTCTCCTGCAGTTGGGTTGGACTTTGCCCTGAGGGTACAGGCATTGCTCTATATGCAATCTACTTGCAACCAAATACTATAGGCACAGAAAGAGTGTAAGGAAATGCAGCTCTGTCATTTCCAAAGACAGACTACACTGCTTATCTTTCTAAATTGCCTTGCCTAAATGAGCTTTCTGTAACTGAGCCTCCAAATCCAGCGCTTACAGTGTGTTCATGTGCAATGCTCCTATCTGAATTAATTATGCAGCATCTTCATGAGGAGAAATCAGATTTGGATGCAAGTTAGGAGAGGACAGAAAGAGGAGCACTTTCCAAAGGAAGGTTACTGTGTGTGATCCCCCAAAGCGCTGGAGTCCTTCCATCTGAGACAGGTTTCAGATGGCAGCCCCCGCTGAGCTAGCCATAGGAAGCAGGGAGTGAACACATTTGAGAAATGAAGAATATGCCAACTATCAAGATTCTGAAGGCCAAAATATTATTAACCTCCTCCTTTCTAAGCAATTCCATTCCAAAGTGGGATTCAACACGTCCGTTCATTTGTTTTCCTGAATGGCTACTAACTACAAACATGTATGATTTTAGACTTTTTCTTTTTCTTTTTTCTTTTTCTTTTCTTTTTTTTTCCTCTTTTTTCTTTTCTTTTTGCTAGTCCAAGAGAAAGGTTTATTTATTTATTTATTTATTTATTTATTTATTTATTTGCATCTCTAAAAATATTGTACTAAGGCTGGAGATCTGAACATTAGAAATGAGCTTCCCCAACAGGATTGTCACATTGAACAAATGAGATTATTTTTTAAACTGTGTGATTCCATGCATAGGACCCAGGTGTTGCCTCGATTTCAGAGGAGCACAGGGATGCTCTCCAACTCGGTGCCAAATGACCAAACAGCGACTGACACAGCCTTACAAGCCGCCCCGTAAGTGAAAGAGAGTGATTCTGCAGAGATTCCCCGCGCAGATCCTGGAAGCTCTACTTTCAGGGGTCTGGACAGGTTCTCTCCTCTCCTCACCCGGAGTGTCTAGACACCGAGGAGGGTGTGCAGTGTCACCACGGGGGGGGGGGGGGGGAGTAGATGTCCGATCTGCGCTCAGCGAAGTTCCACCGGTGCCTCCAGGATGTATTTGAGGTCTAATCCCCAGGTTTGGGGAAGGTTCCTCGGGCCTCCTCAGCTCCCCCTTAGCCTGCCAGCGACCTCATCAGTTCCTCCTGCCACCAACACCAGCTCCACACCAGATCTCCCCCTCTCCCCTCTCCCCAGGCGTGCACCACTTTTCTCCCGACGCTGTTTCCAAAAGGGAAGCACAACTTGGGGGAAGGAGCTACTGGGACCCAGTGGGGAGCCGCTTCTGGGAAACGGACAGGCGGTCCCAGTGAGGCAGGTGTGCAAGCCAGGGGGTGCGGAGAGGGAGAGGAGAGGGGACCCCGGAGGCAGGGGAAGGAGAGCAGCGGGAGAGGCGGGGAGGATGGAGGGGCTAAAGCACGGACTTGGGGGAAAGGGAAAAGAACGGGATGGGGAGGAAAGAAGAGAGTTACGGTAAAAGAATGAAGTGGGGGAGCGGGAGAAGAAAGGAGAAACGGGGAAGGGGAAAGATAAAGAGAGGAGGCGGCAAGGAAAGAGGGAAGGATGTGCCGGGGAGCGGAGCCCAGGGAGCGGAACCGGGGGCCGGGGCGCAGAGGGGAGGGGACCCCGGGCCCCGCGCGCCCCCGGGGAGCCCGGCGCGCCGGGCGCTCACCTTTGAGGACCAGGCTGTCCAGGTCCCGGTCGATGCCCAGGAAGTAGCACTTCCTCCAGAGGCCGGCGTAGGTGGCGAAGAGCGGCCGGCCGCACGCGGCGTCCAGCCCGCCCAGCCCCAGCAGCGCGCGCCAGGGCTCGGGGTCCGCGCGGCCCGGGCGGCGGGGCGGCCGGCGGCCCGGCGGGGGCGCGTCCCGGAGCGGCAGGTGCGACAGCGGCATCAGGCGGCTCCTCTGGTCCGGGGGCTCGGCGCCCGCGCGGCCGCGCTCGCAGCTCTCCTTGTGGCGCCGGGGGTCCGTCTCGTACCAGTGGTCGGTGAAGATGGCCGTGACGAGCAGCCCCAGGGAGCAGAGGCTGAGGCCGAGGCTGAGCGCCGTGACGAGCGCCCGCGGCTCCATGGCTCCCCGCCCCGCCGCCCGCAGCCCCGCGGCCCCGCCGCCGCCGCCGCCAGACACAATGCACTTGGCCTCGGCTCCGCTCCCGCCGCGCTCCCCGCCGCGGCCTCCCCGCCCACCCGGCCCCGCGCCTCCCGCTTCCCCTTCTTATCGGTCTTCCCCGCCTCCCTCCGGGCCCCTGCCCGGCGCAGGATCCTCGCCCCCTCCTCCTCCTTCCCGCGCCGTGCGATCGCACTTTCTCGCCCTCCTCCTCCTCCTCTTCTTCTTCCTCCTCCTCCTCCTCCTCCTCCTGCAGCCCCGCTTCTCACTCCCCGCGCCCCTCTCCCCTCCTCCCGATCGCACTGTCCGCCCTCCTCTCCAGCGTCCCCCCTTCCCTTCCGAATCCCTCCCCGCCGCCCTCCCTTGGCTCTCTCCTACCCTACTCTCGCCTCTCACCCCTGTGCCTACTTTCCCCTACTTTTCTCCAACTCTTTCCCTCCCTTCTCCTCCTCCCGTGTGTCCCTCTTGCTGCCGGCTCCTCCGCGCCCCTTTTTGTCCCTGAGCGCACTGCCCTCCACCAGCGTGGAAGACATTCACCACCCTCAGACTCAGCCGGGTCCCTTGTCCCGCTGGATTCTGATCCGTGCCCTGTTTTTATCCCCAGAAGCAAAGCCCACCCAGCTCGGGCTGCTGGGTTGGTATTGAACTCTTTGGGGTCTTGATCTGAAGCCGGAGACCCTTTCTCCCGCGCTTGGCAGCTCTGTCGCCTTCCTCCTTCCCTCTCACTTGGCCCATTGCAAGCTCCCAGTTCTCTCTGCTCCAGCCCCTCTTCCGGAAGGAAAGACACACGAGTGTCGCTGTAGCGGCAGACCCACGGCCAGGGGAGTTTCTCCCACTTCACTGCAGCCTGCTCAGAGAAGGACTTCTTTTTCGTTCACCACCTCCATCTCCTGCCAGAGTGGCACCTCCTGGAATGTCTAGGAGGGCAGCGGATGGATCAATAAGCCCTTGCTCAGGCACCTGCTCTTGAGGTGATTACTGTCTCTGAATCAAGAAAGCCCTGGGAATAAATCAAAGCAATGCTTTTTTCCCCTCCCATGCAGATGTCTTGCGTGAGCTGGAAGGGTCAACCACACACACCAAGGTCCCCCATGCAAGCTCCCTTCTGGTCTTCACGCACGCAGTAGTCACAGATGCTAATGCTGAGACTGGCAGGCAGGTAGACGCACAGTTTCTAAAATGAGGACGCGTTAGGGCCCAGGGCACTAAAAGAGTTATTGGCTTATGTTGTGCATTCTCAGGACAGAGGGCAATAGCCTTCGTCCTTGTGCCCCTGAGTCTCCTGGAGGCCACGGCAGAGACTGGACAGCCATGCCCATGAACCCAGGGATGTCAATTCTTGTGTTCTTTTCTTTTTTTTAATATATATTTTATTGATTTTTTACAGAGAGGAAGAGAGATAGAGAGAATTATCGATCAGCTGCCTTTTGCACACCCCCTACTGGGGATGTGCCTGCAACCAAGGTACAAGCCCTTCACCGGAATCGAACCTGGGACCTTTCAGTCCGCAGGCAGATGCTCTATCCACTGAGCCAGACCGGTTTCCGCCAATTCTTGTGTTCTTATGCTATGAAATATTAACGATCAAAAGATTATGAGGCAGTCATTAGATGCTAAATACCACTACTCCACCATTTAATGGAGCTTATTAATTAGTGCCCCCACCTCAATTGGTATTACTGTGATTTATATAGTCCCTCTAGGATGACATCTGCAGAGGTGGTATAAGAGTCTTGCTCAGATTTTTTTTTCCATTGCTGTTTGTACTCAGCACCCTCAGAGGGTATATTTCCGGTGAAGACCTGTACGCCTTCTGAGCTGTGCAGTTAACAGATAGATCACTTAAGCCAATCTTTCCGTCATATTGGACCCCCGTGCCCATTTCTGCTGATCTGACACTGTGAGTTATTGCTTGGATTTTCTCACCTCTCCAGCCAGAGCTATGGTAAGCTCCCATCTAATTAAGGAAGACAAAGAATTATAATTTTAGTGTTCCTCTCACCTATAAGCTCTCCCTTAAAAGGAAATGCTAAGCTCATCAAAGGCGTCTTATCTGGACTTACGCAAAAATGATGAGACTTAAAACTTCCTTTTACTTATTCTCTTTTGATATGTGTAAAATCCTAGATCTTTGCAGATACACGGAGAGAATACCTTTAACAGTTGACATCTGAAATTCACTCAAGTTGTCATGCATCTTTTTATTTTTTTTTAATGCCTTTTGAGATAAAGTGATTACAAACCTTTAGCAAGCCTTCCCTCCCTTTTCAAACGCTGATGTTCTACAGGAGAGAAATAGTCTGCCACATTTCAGAGTCACCGGATTCTCTTTACACACAACGACCCTGTCCTGAACTGGAGTAGACAGACTAAAGGAAACCTCTTTTTCAGGCACCTCTGATGAACTTAAAAGAGCATAATGTCCGGCTGCATTTTCCTAGCCAGAGCCTTTGGATCATACTCTCCTTAGAAAACAGCATTATCCTCGAAGTTCAATGCGCCTGTCTATGTGTAAGGCCAGTCTCAGCATATAATCCAAAAGTTACTCTATGATGAATTACCCTTGACAGTATTTCATTAAAAAATGTCACACATTACAAATATGGGCCAGCAGCATGTAATGAGCGCGCTGCCTCTGCTGGTGCAGCATTAACGCCATCAGCGGGGATGTGACATATGATGCGTACACAGGCTTTGCTACGGCAACTGCACACTGCTCCATCCGTGTCCTTAAAATTTCTCTTTTGGGTATTTCCAACAAGGAAATGCCACCCACGAACCCCCACTGTGTTAGGGAAGTGGGGGATACACAGATAAACAGTTCCCATCTTCAGGATGCTCCCAGTCTAGTAGCAACCCGTAGACACACAGACTGTTCGATATGCTCTAGTAGAAAAAAGAACCAAGGGTTGTGGGACTATGGACAATGAAAAAAACTAACTACACACAGTGTGTGTGTGTGTGGGGGGGGGGGGGCATCAAGTAGCTGCTTAGAGAGAGTAACCTTTGAGTTAGTTCTCAAAGGATGAATTAAACTTTATCAGGAGGATTAGGTTAGGCATATTGTCATTATGTCAGAATATTACCATATTTTCCGGTGTATAAGACGACCCCCTAATTTTACAGTTAAAACATAGGTTTAGGCCTATATTCGCTGTATAAGACTACCCCTCACTTCAAAGAAAAGACTTACTTTGCCATCAAGATCTGCAGGTAATTTTTGTGCAATTTTGGTCTTTTGCCCCCGATTTTCGGTTGACTTTCGTTTCAAAAGTCGTCTTATACGCCGGAAAATACAGGTAACTCTTTTACAGAGAGGAAGGGAAAGGGAAAGAGAATTAGAAACATCGATCAGCTGCCTCTTGCACACCTCCAACTGGGGATGTGCCCACAACCAAGGTATATGCCCTTTTCAGTCTGCAAGCCTACGATCTATCCACTGAGCAAATCAGTCAGGGCCAGAATATTAACTCTTTGATTTACATGTCTACCTCACAAATTTGGAGGCTTCAATATTTCGGGCTACTGTGAAATGTACCTTGGTTGCGGGCACATCCTCAGTGAGAGATGTGCAGGAGGCAGCTGGTCGATGTTTCTAACTCTCCATCCCTCTCCCTTCCTCTCTGTAAAAAATCAGTAAAATATATATCATTAAAATACAAATTTTTAAAAAATCCTTATTTTCCACCTATATTTAAAATATTCTAAAGTTGTCATGTTCTAATGCCTGGCTACAAGCTAAGTACTTATAGATGAGTAGACACAGAAGTCCAGGCCAGAATACAGCCAATGTCTAAGGCTTTTAGCCTGGCAGGGGGGCAGCATGCTGTGAGATCAAATAGCCAGCCAGAACACTGTAGCATGTCTCAGCTGCGGCTGTGCTGTGACCTCAATGTTTTCAAACTTAGCTTGTCCTTCAGTTGTCTTAAATATCTCTTCGCCGTCTCCAGATCTGATATCCCCCATGCATCCCTCTGTGAACAACAATGTCCTCAAATGACAGGATGGAGCCAGAGAATTTCCATCTAGAATCTCACTGTATGATTGGACTCAACATGTCCAAAAGTAAACTCTTATTTCCCTGTGGTTCAGCTACCTTTCCCTATGTATTAACAAATCATTCAAGTCACTCAGACTCACTATTTTAGAAATATCTATCACATTCACAGTCGTGGGGATTTTTTCTTTCACGTGTCTTTTATAGCCAAATTTTTTTCTACGTATCTACTATTTGCGGTCACTACGCCCCTCTCACCTCACACCTGCATTCTTATTACAGCTTCGTCCTTGGTCCCCACCCTTCCAGGAGCAACCCTGCCTGCAGTGATCCTGTGTACTGATGCCAAATACATCTTCTTCAAGTGTTACTTTGGTTGTGTAATCCCTCATCTTCTGCTCTCCTTTCTAGGTTAGAGAGAATTATCTACTATCTTGCTCCAAAGTCCTTCTCTGTTGCCGTCAGTATTCACATAGCATTTTAACATCCCAACTAATGTGTTGGCTATGTTTAAATATTTAGAAAACAAAACACTCTGCCTGCTCTAAACTCTCAACACACTTACCATAATATATAGGTGCTTGATTACATTCATTGTATTTCTCTTACAGTCAGGAAGTTTTTAAATAATATTTCTCTATTAAAAATGTCGAGAGAGAGAGAGAGAGAGAGAGAGAGAGAGAGAGAGAGAGAGAGAGGAGAGAGAGAGAGAGAGAGAGAGAGAGAGAGAGAGAGAGAGAGAGAGTCCTGATCATCAGAGAGCTATGGCCATGATTTATTGACATTCCTATGCTAAGTTGACCATGAATATTCTAAAAGGCTTTCGCCCTTTGCCCCAGTACCAAGGCCAAAAGCAACATCACTCTTTATTGCAAACATTTGGATTCCACAAAATTTACTCAATGCCATTTAACTTAAACCACACACTGGCTTTCATAATGAGTAGAGATTTTTTTTTTCTTGGTCATTTTTTTTTTTAGCATTTAATGTAAGGATATAGTCCATTATGTTCTTGACCTACAGTGTGTCATATCTATAAATAATTGAGGAATGTTGTGTTACAGTCATGATTCTAAATTGTTTTCCTAAGATAATTTTATTTTTTTAATTCA